AAAACGGAACATAGATACTCTTTGAACTATGCGCTTCTACTTGCAAAATTTTCTATATACTGCAGCTGCCTGCAAGATGAAAAGCTCTCTTTCGTAAAATACTTTAAATCATCTATAGCCTGTGAGGGCAGATGTATTTCCAGCTCTCAATTGTCACTGCCAAAAATGTCTATGTTTGCAGGCTAAATCATCTATTAAATTAATAAATCCTCCTAGTCTTCAGCTATGTTTTTCCATGTATCTTTAACAGAGCTTTAATACAAGGTCAACTGTCAAGGTTGGGGCTAATTTCAATAGAGACATCAATGTCCAGTAGAGGCACTGTACTCATCACAAATTTAATAAAAGAAACTTTTATTGTTGCCAGGTTCTGTGACATTTTAGGGAGCTTGAAAATTTATACCTTACTAAATCACCTGGACAGCCCTATTTTCAGATAAAGTTTGCTTAAAATTTAACACGGGTAAAAAAAAAATTGAGTTGTAAAGGACAAGCAAATTTGAATATCCTCACATGCAATATAATAATACAATAAATAAATTTATTATTATTTAACAAAATGTATATGTACTTGATGATATGATAAATGGCATGTGGGGAAAGGGACTTTTAGCAAGTAGGTGTTTTGTTTCAGCAAGTGGGTAAAAAATAAATTGGATTGTAAAGGACAAGCAAATTTAAATATTTTCACATGCAATATATACAATAAATAAATTTATTATTAATTAACAAAATGCATACATAATGATATAATTTGGCATGTGGGAAAGGGACTTCTACCAAGTAGGTGTTTTGTATCAAGCTACAGACCTTGCCTCTAGAATGTCTTTGGGATCCCCAGTACAAATATCCTCAGTTATATAGCCTTGACTACAGTTCAGTAGGGTTTTATTAGGTTTGCAGATTGTAATGAAGTATGGTCGCAGCCTTCCAACGGTTGCTTTACCCATGTCAGTAAACAGATTTGTAACAAGTGCACCAAAGCCAAACATGAAGACACGGAAAATAGTTCTGAAAAATAAGCAGTACACAAAAAAGTTCTCTTTTCAATGTGAATTCACTGTGAATTCACTGTAATGAGCCAAGCCCTTCATCAGTGGAAAAGCCAAGCTGATTTGACTTTTCCACTGATGAAGGGCTAAGCCCGAAATGTTTGGAACTTTTTAAACATTGTGGCAATTAACACTTACGTGCTAGAACTTTAACTCACTTGTCTTGGTTATGAGTACAAGTGCCACAAAGTACATGGGAATTTTTCCGTTAATCAATAATGTTATAGAGAGACAGGTGATGAAAAAAATCATTAACTTATAAATATGATCAAGAAAATAAAAATGTCTGGACTTTTCCCTGACCAAAAATAATCTTGACTAATCATAGCTGCTTTTTGTCAAAAATACATGAAAAACAAAAACAATAATCATTAAACTTTCAGTTTCTTTTGCCAAAAATATATATTTCTTTTATTGGGAGGGGACTTTTGTTTTGTTTCAAGCTACTGACCTAACCCTGAAAACTCATATCATTTTAACATCAAAACCTGTCCTAACAATAAAATTTCCAGATCTATTTTCTTCAGTTTTTCACTTGAAGAAATTAGAAAAGACATTTAGAAATATTTCCCCAATGAGATAATAAACTCCCTGGCTTTGGATGAATTTTTTTCACAGGCTTTTTATCTGACTTCTGATGATCCCTTTTCTAATTAATTCTCTACTGTCTTCAAAAATATGTTTAGATCTGGTATATATGTACAGGTAATAAGATAATCTTGATGGCATACAATACATGAGAGAACTATAATCACCTTCTCTGCCATGGTGATGGATTCCATTTTAATGGCCCACATTTGACAGTGATCTTGCTGAGTTCTTTATCAGTTTTTCTTCTCTTGGATCTTGCATTTACTGCTTCACAAATAATCATCTAAAAAATAAATGAATACAGAAACAAATTAAAAAGTAGTTACACAAACAAGATATAAAATAAATAAAAATAAGTTATGTAGCTTTGTGCAATTCAAATATTAGAGTTATGGATCTGAAGTTTAGTAGACAATATCAAATCTTTCTTTCAAATCTTTTAACTCTTTTATAAATTAGATATTGACCAAATAACCAAGTAATTGGCTATTGTGTGCAGTCCATGCCATTCATTCTGTCATAGAATAATGATTTGAATAAATAATCAATATCTCAGTTACAGTGTAAAACTAATAAGCATGTTCCTGACCCTTTTAAAGATAGTAATTATTGTCTGGGGATATTATCTGGGGGGCTTGCAAGTAACTTTAAAACGTATGGAGAGTGTATGGCAGGGAAGAAAAGTTTGGGAGGAGGGTGCATGAACAGTTGTGAGTTTGCACAACAAAAGAAGTTCAGAACTTGTATTGTTTTAATAATGAAAAATACATTGTCTACTTTAACAAAGAACGTACGATTACCACTTCACTGAACACGGCCCTAAACCTCTCATCTACGATACAAGCTTTCTATATATAAAGCACAACTTGTAGACAAGTAGTAAGAGTTTTCTGTTTTATATTCAAGCAAAATATATACAAACTTAGGCATTAACGCGAATGCCTCACTCGCAATTATTTTTCTTTATCGTGAAACGATTCGTATAGCTTAAGCGTAAATAAATTTCAGCTTAATTACTTCCTGAGGAATGGTTTGTTGACATACTTTTTAATTTGTTTGTACAGGGCTATAAGCTTTAAATGACTTAGTAACTAGTAGATCTTGTTTCACGGGCTAAGTAAACCCACTTCAGTACGCAAATAGAAAATCAATTGAGCGGAGATCTAGTTAAATAAATTTAAGCTTTCTTTCTTACCACAGGAATCGTCACAAAAAACCCAACAATGATCGTGAGCCATGTTGGAATGGTTTCTTTCTGGAATGGCTTCTGCAAGCTTTTATCGTCACAAAAAAATCCCCTGTGAGATGGTTTTATAGGGATTACGTGAAACAACATGTCTGCAATCCCCAGTACGACAAGGCAAACAATATCCATGATCAAATGCCATCGTATTTGACGTGCGTTTGCCATTTCAAGCAGCGCGATGTACTGAAACAAAGAATTATCACGTTGAAAATTTTTGTGACAAGTCTGACAAGGTCGGACGAATTTGTAAGGTGACGTTCAAATGATTGGATCGTTATCTTTCCGTTTCTGTAGGACTTTAAACCGATGTTCTAAATTCATCCAGACGACTGGTTAAACAAGGATATGCTAATGTCGGACAATATTTGGATATTTTTCCATTTTTATGCAAAAACACTTACCAGCAAATTGCCGCCATTTCGTCTTTTGAAGACTAGTTCTCAAGCTCTTCGCGACTTAGGTTTGAACCCAGTCTTCCTTCTGCTCGAACACGATATTCCTTCTAATTCTTGTGGAAGGTTAGTCGTTTTATTTCCATCTCTAACGTGAGTATTTAATTACCTATATGTCTGTTTTACCCATTCTACTTGTACCATAGAAAAACAAGTGAAACTAGACTTCAAGGTCGATTCAAAAGTTACTCTTTGCATTAAGCCTTTTGACTCAGGAAAACTTGACATTTTGAGGAAACTAGTCCGGAAAAATTCAAATTCTAACACTGCTGATTTAACGGCGTCGACAAAA